GACACAGACAGGAAAGTCTTGACTTACCTGAGATCAATCCGAAGAAAGAACTTGTCTCCAGAAAGCTGCATCAACATCTTCCAGACCATGGTTGAGATGAGAGACAACAAACTCAAAGATGAGATTCAGGAATATCTTAAACTGGCCGACCGTCCAAAAAAAGAGTTGACTCCCCTGCACTGCTCAGCCCTGGCCTACATGCTGCAGGTGTCCAAGAATGAACTGGAGGAGTTGGATTTAAAGAGTTACAACACAACAGATGAAGGCAGGAGGAGGCTCATCCCAGCAGTGAGAAGCAGTAAAAAGGCTGTGTGAGTCTCATTTTTCTATTTACAATAAAATAATCTGTTGTAAGATGTTTTGAATGTAAATGAGTTTAGTTCAAAGGTTAAAGGTTTTCTTACATAGATTGTAAGGATCTAATAAGATCTTGCCATGTGAGAGATCTGCTTCAAGCACTTCATGGTATGAAGAGATAAAGCAATCATTTGAACCAGACATGCTGGAATAGAGACAACATGCAGGACAGAAGTCCATGATGAGGAACCCCTGCCCCAATATGTTGGGTCACAAAGGTCTGGTCTCTGTGGAGACCAGAGATCCTTCAATAGGCACAACATTTAGTTCGTTCCTGTCTAATTTTGGGGAGTTTGTCTGAACTGTCGGCTGTTTGCTGGCAGGAATGACATGAGAGGATGTTCTGCTGTATAAGAAGAAATGGATCCATGTGTAACATTGTTCCTGCTTTAGATTATGACCATATATAATATATTTAAGCAACATTAAGTCTTACTTTTCTTTATGCCTTGTAGGTTAAAAGACTGTAAAGTGACTGAGGAGTGGATTGAACATCTGGTCTTTGGCCTAAAGTTCCCGTTTTCACCACTGGAAGATCTGGACCTGAGCAACAACGACCTGAAGGATTCAGGGGTGAAGATGCTCTGTGATGGACTGTCCAGTCCTGTCTGCAAACTCAAAACATTGAGGTGAGAAAACACATGTTCCCTATGCTGCTGTAATGGAATATAATGTAATTTATTCTTCATCGTCAAAACTTGACTCTGAAACAAATATAAGATGTAATTTATTCTACATAATATCTGTGTTGAGGTTTTATGCAGATTAATCATCAGCCTCTGTGTTTTCTCAGGTTGTCTGGTTGCCTCATCACACAGACAGGATGTGAACATCTGGCCTCGGCGCTGAAGTCCAACCCGTCCCACCTGGTGGAACTGGACCTGAGCTACAACAATCCAGGAAAAACAGGAATTAAGCTGATTACTGATCAACAGCAGCTCAAAACATTCAAGTAAAAACTTTGGGTTGTATTTTATGGCCCTAATCTGAAAGGCTTTTATAGTTTCTAACTCTGGTCTCTCTTTAAAGTTTTGATCATGGTGGACCCAATCGGATGAAACCAGGATTTAAGAAGTGTAAGTATTTTACTCTTTGGTTGTTATTTTATTTCTGGTAATCAAACAAAGATAACGTCAAGGCCAAACTGGACTAAGAAACATAAAGAAAACCAATTCTAAAACAGAAAAATGACTTGCACACTTACATTTCTGTAAATTGGGACACTCACATTAATCTAGCAATATGTCTCAATTTAAATATTCAGGAATTAGAACAATAATTGCTACATTTCTCTTAGGAAGGTACTTTACTCTCCCCCATGCCAGAGTTTCTCCTCTAGAAGTCAGTGGTATGAGCTTTTATGAGACGCTGTACATTTAAACTCCTTGTTTTTGTTTTTCCAGATGCCTGCTCCCTCACCCTGGACTCCAACTCTGCTCACAAGAAGCTTCTTCTCTCAGACGGGAGCAGAAAGGTGACCTGGGTGGAGAAGGAGCAGCCTTACCCTGACCACACAGAGAGGTTTGATCGGCGCCTGCAGGTTCTGTGTGAACAGGGCCTGCAGCAGCGCTGCTACTTTGAGGTGGAGCTGGTGGAGCCCTGCGCCATCGGCTTAACATACAGGAGCATCGGCAGGAAAGGAGACGGAGAGGACTGCAGGTTGGGGATGAACGATAAATCCTGGTGCAAGATCTGCTCAGAGGAAGGTTGCTACATAATACACAACAGCAACAGTGTTGTTGTCTCCTCTCTGCGCTGCTCTCGGGTTGGAGTGTATCTGGACTGGGAAGCTGGCAGCATCTCTTTCTACAAAGTTTCTCATGACAACCTCACCCACCTCCACACCTACAAACCTATAACATTCAGAGAGCCTCTTTATCCTGCTGTCGAACTTTTTCCTCACTCTTCTGCCTTGTTTTGTCAGATATAATAAGCTGAGCAAAGGGAGTGGGGAAACATGCAGAGTTATAATACACATTAAAATATGGATCTTACACTGTTATATGTAGTCGTACAACTGAACGTTTTTTTTTAATAAAAAAAGAGAAAGATGTTTTATTCCTGCTAAAGCTCATGTAAAGTAAATGACATTTTAACATCCCTGGTATGTTAAAACACTGTAAAGTGACTGCAGAGCAGATTGAACTTCTGCTCTTTGGCCGAAAGTTTCTATTTTTCACACCACAAGATCTGAACCTCAGGAAGAATTATCTGATGGATTCAGTTTTCTGTTGAGTCCAAACTGCAAACTCGAAACACTGAGGTAAAGATAGATGTAAACATACAACATTATGTTCCTTATGTAAAGGAAATGGCATAATAATGGAATTACACATTCTTAAATATTAAGAAACTTTAAATTCAAATTAATAATTAACACTGGAACTGGAAGACATTTTAAATATCCAAAATAAATAAAACAACAGAAACAACTAATAAAATGAATTATGAAATCTCTGTAAACAGAATTGTCCTTCATAAAAGTTTGTCGTCCAGTTTTTGGTAGAAACAGAAAAGAGACAAATAATAAATCATGCAAACAGAAATGACTGAGGTCTTTTTAATTTATCATGCGATTAATTAATTTATTGTTTATTAAAGGCCTGTGTAATACAGTACATAGTTTATAATTAAAATGAGTTATCAGGTGTTTGAAGCAGCTGCTTGCAGGACGGTTCTTAAAATGACTAAATGGGAGATTTAATAGTAAAACTGTTTTCTGAGGTTTTATTTGTCCTCTGATTAAATGTAAAATAGTATTATGATTGGTTTTTATAACAGTATTCAGTAAACATCAGTAAAACAACTTTATTTTCGTTGTGAGTGTGTTTTATAAATATTTAAATCGTCCTGCTTGTTGCTTCTACTCCAACACTGTAGTTTGGATTTGATGTTACATTCAGGATGTTGACCTCACTGAAAAGTATCTGCAGTGTAAATACTTGCAATTTTAAACAAAATGTTAACTTGCATTAATTTGTCTTTATGCTTTTCTTTATACTTCATAGAGTCACTAAATGTAGTTCACTGTTATCTGCTGCTTCTGACATAATTAACTTTCCTCTAGACAAATAAATAAATGCAATAAAAATATGAAAATAAAACTCCTTCACATTATCTGTATATTATGAATATGTAATGAAATATTAGCTAACTACTGTTTGTTAGATATTGGCTTAATATGTTTTCTGTATGTTAAAATCTTGCTACAGTTGCAGAATGTTTTCTGAGAGCTTCGTGTTTTCAAATCTCTAAATGATTTTGAATTAACTGGTTATGTGTAAGTACGGCGCCCCCTAAGGGACACAAAGGACTTTTTTTTTATTGCTTTCCCTTGCAGTAATAAAGTATTTAGTGTTCACCTTGCACACTGAAGGCTTTTCTGCTGAAATTTAAGGTTGTTATAAGAATTTGAAATGTGTGTTATTGTCTTATTTATGATATATGAAGTTCTGCATATTTTCCTTAAGGATACAAAAGAACCACAAACTGATGTGCAAAATGCCAGAAGCAAAACAGAACAAACCTGGTTTCCACCAATGTCTAAAACATAAACACAACAGAAACTTCATGTAAGAAATAAAGAGACATAGAGACTATTTAGATTATTTTCACAGAGTAAAACCTCCGTCTGATGACAGGTTTGTTTGTTGAGTCTTTCTTGTTAATTAATAAAGATCCGTTTTCATCTGCAGTTCCATATCCTGCTACTTGTTTTTCAACCAAAAGATATTAAACAAATATGAAACCCAGTTAACAGATACATTTTTAACCCTGGTTTGCACCAAAAAATAATAAATATATTTTCACTGAGGATCTTTAAACGTGTACATGCATGCTGTTTGGAATTATCACTGTATACAAATTAGTCTATGGTGTATTTTTGCATAGTTCATGTGAAGGAAAGCAATAAAAAAATATTGTGTGTCCTAGGGGAGTTTTATATGCAAAACATTCTGAGTCAGATGTTTTTAAAGTATTCCAACTGAAATGTTTTTCATTAACAACTTTTATTGATAATCACATAATAAAAGTCTTTTCAGCACTGAGGTTTTTATCTTTTCTCTATTCCTGTGTCAACATCCTGCGCAGTAGCTTAGAGATGACAAAGGCTGAGACTGACATCAGTTCAGCACAAAGAAATGAGAGACGAGCCACAGAGCAGAACCTTCAGGAGCTTTTTAACTTGATCTGCAAAGGGAACCTGAGCCTGTAGACACATAACATTCAACATTCAAACCAGCTGCATGTGTCTTTGTGTGTTTTTATTTGCTCAGTATTTGCTTAAATTTTGCATGTTGAACAATTTGTCTTTAACTGAGTGAAATTCTCATGTTAAACAAAAATTAGGTAAAGTGTCTTTTATTTTAATGCTGAGCTAAAGGTAAAAAGTACCAGAGGGTCCAAACGATCTTTCCTGTTAATGATCCATGTCTCACCTGCTGGGCTGGTTTGTGCAAACAATGAAAACGGCAGATGGTCCTGAATCAATAAACCCCTATCCTCCCTTATCTTTTGTTATGAACAGAATCAAAGATGAATGAAAGTTTGAAAGTAACCGACTATTGATCCTGGGAAGTAGAGTTTGTGTTAATCTCAGCCACGCCTCTGCACGTTCCTGTCAGCCACGCCTCTGTGAAAGTAACTGGCGCCATCTGGTTTTCTGCCACATGCATTCAAGGACAAACAGCTGATGAACCTTTTTATCACATCTTCCAGGACGGACAAATTTAAGGCCGTTAATTTTTTTTTATAATTAAAGGAAAGAAGAAGGAACAACGGAAACAATAACTTTAAAATACCAGTAAGTTTCATTTTGTTCTCTAAAACATCTATTTCTTTCTTTGTAAACTTTCTACTATTTGTTCTTTTCATGACTGAGTTTTTTCTTGATTCCAAAGATGTGATTAAACTGGGCTTTAGCTGGAATCAATAATCAATTTATTAAAACTTCCTCTTCAAGATATGAAAACATGTTTTGCTAGAATAAATGATCACATTCTGCACATTCAGAAGCTGCTAAAAAGACACAAAATGTTTTTATAAAGAAAATTATTACTCTGTCAGTATATACATAATGAAACGATGCCTAAATGTATTCCTGTTTCTGAAATATATAAATATTTGTATGAAAAACTTTCACCATCTGTTAGACAGGAAGGTAATAAAAGGAATCGGTTATTGTGACTCTATGCCTCTTGTTTAAACCACATTTTTATTTTGAAAAAGAAACATTTCGATGTGTTTAGTTCAGACATAAACTAAAGTGATTAAATAGAGGTTGTATGTCATGTAGATGGTTAAATGGATTATATTTGGGGTTTTTTCCCCCCTTAAAACTCAGACAGGCGTCCTGAGCTGAAGACCAACTAGAATCCAATAATCTTCACTTTAAAGGTGAACAATTGTCCAACTTCTTTTATTCTAGTTAAAACAACATTATATCAGAAACAATATTTACTCTTAATGCTGTAAATCTCCTAAACGCTGCTCAGTTTTTCTTTAATCCTGTTATAAATACTATATTCAGCTCTGTGCTCTTAATTACTGTTTTTTAATCTCACCCATTTTCCCACCATAATCTGCACTATTTTATTCTTATTCAGCTTTTTGTAACTATTTTAAACAAGAAACAGGATGTATATTTATATTCATCTAATCCTGTGGAAACATTTGAGTTTTTCATGTTGTTTAAAGATGTTTTGTTTCTTTTTGGTGGGAGAGTTGTGAAATGTGTAGAGGCAGAAGTGAAATGTGGTCATTAAGATAGAGGAAGTCCGACAGAGGAAGCAGGGGGTACAACGGACCAAAGTGTTGCAATAAATTTAAAGTGGTAGTGCAGACTTCTCTGTGCACTTCACATGTAAACAACTAGAAAAACAGAAGAATATTTATAATCTGTAGTAAATATTGTTAAGATTCAATCATGTCAAGTTATTGTTTCATTTAACCTTCATCACACTTTCACATAAATAAGCACATGTTGTAAAATGTTCCACGTTGTGTTGACCTACAGATCCAACCAGAAAACAAACCCTGTAAAAATCTCATTTTCCTCTTCAACCTGCACTGAAACTCAGTTGTTAAATAAGTATAAAAATCTTTCTTTTTTAAAGGTTTTTGTTGGTTCTAGTGGCCTTTATCTGAAAGTAGTTCAACAGGAAAGACATGCAGCAAATGTCGCCAGGCTGGGAATCAAACCTGCAACCAGCGGCACAAGGACTAAGGCCTCAGTATGTGGGTTGTGCTTTGCCCCTGCGCCAGCAAAGCACCCAATATAAAAATATTTCTGTTTTTCTGCAGCATAACAAATGTCTGACCGGAGGAAGAAACGGAAATCTGCAGCAAAGACCAGATCACATGGAGATCACACAGTTTGGTAATTATAGTTTTGACATGAGCAGGAAAAATGTATCAAGTGATATTAGCTTAAGAAATACAAGTTTAAACAAACCATAATTCTCCTGTATGTCTTTGTGTCATAATATGTGTGTAGTTTAATTAAAAGAGTATAATTTAATTAGTGCAACCTCCTTACTTTGATGCCAGATCTTAAGTGCTTTTTGAAGGGCAGCTTCTACTGCAAATATCTTATTACACTTAAAATAAAACAAAACTAACTGATAAGTAACTTTCCAACTAAATAGATCAGCCTTTTTTAAGTCAATAATTCCTTAATATTGATGAAAATGTATTAGTCCTAATGATAAATTATTTCACTTATAACATCTGAAAAGTTTCCTGTAATAAATGAAATAATCTTCCAAAGAAACTGGAACTTTTTCATCAGAATTAAGGAATTATTGACTTAAAACAAGGTTATCTATCTTACTGAAAAGGTACTTATAACTTAGTTTTGATTTATTTTATGTGTATTTATATATTTGCTTTAGAAACTGGACCAACATTACTTGATAAAATATGTTTTTGCAGAGCACCACCTCCTTGTAGAGCAAATCTGCCTTGCAAATGTAGTCAAATAGTTTTTTCATAATTTTATGCCTCAAACCTCTCGACAAACTAACAAGAAAATGCAAATCTTGAGAACATTTTTTCTTCTTTTAGTTCCCAGAAGAATGGAGATGAGCCACCAGGCCCCAGCAGCGTCTCTGTTAAAAGCAATCGGTCCAAGGGTCTGCCAAATGACTTTAGAAAAGACAGATCAAAATGGTATGTGCAACTTATGTTACTAATTAAGAATATCCTGAAGAAGAGCTCTTGTATTTCTCAACACATCAAACAAATTATAAAGATGTTTATGTTTGTATAAAGAATCTTGTTTAGTTTCAGTATTACTGTTTCTTTTTTTGATTAAGTCAACCTTGTTTCTAATTGACTTCAGTTCAGTCCTTTCTCAGTGGTTCTAGTCTGTTTATTTATTCCTTGTGTCTAGTGATAGGTTACTGTTAGATTTATTTTTCTAGTTCAAAGTTGTGGATATTTTCTCCTCATAAAAATGTGTCATTGCTATTTAGAAAATGTGTATTTGTTCTTATTTACAGTCAGAAATTCAGCGAGGAGCTGAGCAGCTGCTCAGTGTGTCAACAGGTTCTGAAGGATTTGGTGTATTTTATTTGTGGACATCCATCATGTAAGGATTGTTTGGGTTTGAGCCTGAATGACTTACCGACAGACTCGCCCTGCACACAGTGTGGAGAGACGTTTATGGAAAACACACTCAAAGACAGAGGTGAGTTCAATTCAGTCTGGATGTGATGCACCACTGAGCAACACAAGTAGATTCATTTTATTCAGTTTATTATTAAGAAGTAATGGGGCATCAGGAAGCGTTTTGACACTTTGCCAAACTGTATTAATACTGTGGCACTGAATACTGACTCCTGCTGGATCTTAAAAATCCCTATTTTACATAGTAATATTTAATATATTTAATGTCTTTGTGTAAATTTAAAATATCTTTGATATTTTAGATAATGTGAAAATCGAAGTGATGTGACATGTTGTGAAGGAGGATGCATGTGGACTGGGATTTTCTTTTCTTTCCTTTTTTTTTTACACAATATTATAAAACAATATACATTTTTCCAATGTTTTGAAATTGAGTATGTTTCGCATTTTTGATTAACTTCTCCAGCTGCAGAAAACACCTGCACACACAAAACCCATGAGGCTGCAGTGCAAAGAAACTGTAATGAAAGGCAGAAGAGGTTTGGATAGATTGTCTTTGGGTTGTTCCTGGATCTCATAGGATCCAGGATCTCATAGGATCCTGGGACCTGGGCTGGTTTTTGGTTTGCAGCCAAGAGCTTATTTACCCTCCAACTGTGAACTCAGGATACAGTTAAAACACCTTAACTGTATTCTCAGTATGTGGGCAGAAGATCAAGTTTTTTTGACTTCATCCTCTCACTCAAAACAAGGAAACTGACAATCAATCAAATTTTATTTGCATAGCACATTTCAGCAGCAAGGCATTTCAAGGTGCTTTACATAATTAAAGAAAAAAAACAACAGCATGTGACATTGAATAAACAGTAAGAAAGAGAAAGAGATTTTGAAAAAAAAAAAACAGTGCCATGTTGCTTTGTCACACATTTTCCACATCATCTCATCAATGATGGATCTCTGGTTGTTGGGAACTATTTACCATTTAAAAAGAGCAAATAACTAAAACATGTCTTAATTTACTCTTTGAGCATCTTGGTAATTTAAGCTTATTACTTATTACTGATGTGACTTTAGATTATTATTAAAACTGCTATATGAAAAACAATCATGCAAGGAAACAGAAACCTGATGCAATTTAACCTGTCAGACAGGCTCAGAGATAAACCATGCATACATTAAACTTTTGTAAAACATGCATGTATTCACTTTTTATTAGTACTTCTGATATTTTCGAATTATTTCAACCAGTAAGACACATATGTTATGTGTTGCATTTCATTTCAGGTAACAGTGTCTTTCTGGAAGCAACAATGAATCTTAAAAAAGGAATGAAGAATAAATTCACTTTGACGTCTGAAGGTAATGGTGATTATCGCAGCTCCCTCAAAAGCATCTACACAACCCTGTTCATCACCACTGGAGATAATGATGGACGAAATCAGGAACATGAGTTCAGACAGCTAAGAAATGCTCATCCAGACCAACCGCTGAGTGACTCTACTGTCAACCTGAGTGAGCTCTTCCAATCGGTGCCTGACCAGGACAAACCCAGCAGAACAGTCCTGACAAAGGGAGTCGCAGGCATTGGAAAATCCTTTGCTGTTCAGAAGTTCATCCTTGATTGGGCTGAAGAGGAAACAAACCAACAGATTGATTTTGTTTTCAGTCTTCCTTTCCGAGAGTTGAATTTGATTGTAGGAGAGAAAGGTCTCCATGAGCTGCTGACTGAGTTTCATCCGTCTCTCAGACCACTGAAAGATTCCCAAGATTACTCCAAAACAAAGATCATAGTGATCCTGGATGGCTTGGATGAAAACAGATATCAGTTGGACTTTCAGGAATCAGCCAAAGTAACTTCTCTTGATGATGTAGCGTCTGTAGGTGATCTTGTTGTAAACCTGATCCAGGGTAACCTCCTTCCTGACGCTAATGTCTGGATAACGTCCCGACCAGCAGCAGCCAGTCAGATCCCTGCAGAGCACATCGACATGGTGACAGAGATCAGAGGGTTCAATGATGCTCAGAAAGTGGAATATTTCAGAAAAAGATTCGGTGATGATTCCAGTATCACTAACAGGATAATATCACATATTCAGTCCTCACAATCCCTGGACATCATGTGCCAGATCCCGATATTCTGTTGGATTTCTGCTGTCTTATTCCAGGAAGTCTTCAGCAGAAATGAAGAGACAGAAATCCCTCAGACTCTTACAGAGTTAATGGCACATTTTGTCTTTGCTCAGACAAAACGTAGAAGCAGGAAGTATGACAGGAACCCTGAGAAAAACAGAGAGAAGCTCCTGAAGACTCACAGAGAATTTCTTCTGAAACTTGGGAAACTTGCATTTGTCCAGCTTCAAGAAAATCAACTCATCTTCTATGAGGAAGACCTGGAAGACTGTGGCATTGATGTAGCAGAGGCATCAATCTACTCTGGTTTATGTAACACTGTTCTCCAGGAAGAGGAGGTCTCCTCCCAGAAAAAGATCTTCTTCTTTGTGCATCTGACTCTTCAAGAGTTCTTTGCAGCTCTGCACGTCTATGAATGCATGAAAACCAAGAAAACCAATGAACTTGGCAAGTTCCTCTCTGTGGAAGACAAAGATCTTCCTTTACTTGATCTTCTAAAGATGACAGTCGACAAAGTGCTGGAGAAGAAGAACAGTTACTTAGACTTTTTCTTACGATTCCTGCTTGGCCTGATGGTTGAACCCAATCAGAGATTCCTTCAGGGTCTGTTGACTCCCCTTGACGAATGGGACGACACAGACAAGAAAATCCTAACTTACCTGAGATCAATTAGAAGAAAAACCGTCTCTCCAGACAGCTGCATCACCATCTTCCAGACCATGACTGAAATGAGAGATCACAAAGTCAAAGATGAGATTCAGGAATTTCTCAAATTGGCTCCTTTGCACTGCTCTGTTGATAAAATGACAAAATGACGAGAGACATAAGAAAGTCTTAACTTGGCTCAGACCTCTTCCATAAACACATTATCTGAAACGTCTGAAACTTCTTCCAGATAATATTTAACTGACCTTATTAGGCTCAAGACACTAAATAAAACTCAATACTACATTAGAAAAAGCTTATTTGTTTTATGACATTCTATGTTAAGTACATATGAGTCAACAATGACCTGAGAAATGTGTAAAATTCAAAGCATTTAACTCTAAATATATATTTTTTGTGGGTGGACCATTAACATATTAATTATCTACACAGTGCAAGTTTTTGATGAGTTAAAGTAGTATAAATAGTTGTTTTAATATCTATGAAAATATCTTTTTTTAAGATTCTATGTTACATTGGTTTTCTGTTTTTTAGTTTGCAAAATGGTGACCTGAATCTGAGAAACAATGATCTGTGCTTAAAACAAAATGACTGAGCGATCATCCATTAGCAAAAGGTTATTGATGCCACATGAACACATTTATTACTCCATGAGTAGAATATTATAAATTACTTAAACTTTAGGTGTTGTGGACAATATCTGAAGGAGAATACTTGTGCATTTGATTTGGACTTTCTCAGTTATAATCTTGTTCATGTTGTTTTTTGTATGAATGCAGAAATGGAAATAAATCCATTGTTGAAGCTTGAAGTGAACGCAGCAACAATGAGCAAATTCCAATGACTTTTGAAACAAATTAAATGCGACATAAAGCCTGAATGGTGAGAGGAGTTATGGTAGATGATGGAAACTAATTTGCTGTTCCTACAGATGTGGGCAGTAAATGTGAACAGACAGGAAGAATATGTGAATTGCACAGTGTTTGTATGTGTTTTATTTTGGTGGGGCAAAACTTTATTTATAGCAATATTTATATTATGAGATTTTATATTACATTTTTTAAAACTATATTTACCAAAGATTTTTATAGTTTAACCATTTCTCAGTTTTAGAAAAGCACCTGAAACTGTTAAAATGTTTATCTGTATTGTTTTTTTAATTACATTTCAGAACATGCAAAGCACTTATCTGTTGTGTCATTCAATGAAGTATCTATATTATGATTCATTCTTAGCTGCTAAAATGTAGTGAGCATTGTTTAAAGATATAAGCTGTCACTGAAAACTTTTTTGCAACAATCATTGAATAAAATACTCATATATTCAAAACTATGACTTGTTGTTTCTTACGTTAGATTTATTGTGTGTAGCACAAATGTTTACATCAAAGTGTAAGACATGGGAAAAGAACCAGGTTTTCAAGATAAATAATTTAATATTTATTTATAGTGCTGTGAACCATCTTCATCAAAGATAAAATTATTACATACAAAAAAGAACTTTTAGATGCTGATTTCATCTATTACTTACACAGAGTAATACAAACCAATATGTCCATAAATCAGGATAACTATAAGGGCCATGAGATACATACATCATTCTCAGGTCAAAAAGAAATTCACTAACAGGTGAGGAGCAGTTTAGAAAGTGTTACAAAGCTGATTTAAGACATTGAGCCTCCAGTGACCAAAGGTTTTTGTCTCCTCTCTGCGCTGCTCTCGGGTTGGAGTGTATCTGGACTGGGAAGCTGGCAGCATCTCTTTCTACAAGGTTTCTCATGACAACCTCACCCACCTCCACACCTCCAAACCTATAACATTCAGAGAGCCTCTTTATCCTGCTGTCGAACTTTTTCCTCACTCTTCTGCCTTGTTTTGTCAGATATAATAAGCTGAGCAAAGGGAGTGGGGAGACATGCACAGTTATAATACACATTAAAATATAGTTCTTACACTGTTTCATGTAGTCGTACAACCTTAAGTTTTTTTTTTATATAAAAATAGAAAGATGTTTTATTCCTGCTAAAGCTCATGTAAAGTAAATGACATTTTAANTTAATATGTTTTCTGTATGTTAAAATCTTGCTACAGTTGCAGAATGTTTTCTGAGAGCTTCGTGTTTTCAAATCTAAATGATTTTGAATTAACTGGTTATGTGTAAGTACGGCGCCCCCTAAGGGACACAAAGGACGTTTTATTTTTTTATTGCTTTCCCTTACAGTAATGATGTATTTAGTGTTCACCTTGCACACTGAAGGCTTTTCTGCTGAAATTTAAGGTTGTTATAAGAATTTGAAATGTGTGTTGTCTTATGATGTATGAAGTTTTGCATATTTTCCTTACGGATACAAAAGAACCATAAACTGATGTGCAAAATGCCAGAAGCAAAACAGAACAAACCTGGTTTCCACCAATGCTCTGAAACATAAACACAACAGAAACTTCATGTAAGAAATAAAGAATAGAGACATAAAGACTATTTAGATTATTTTCACAGGGTAAAACCTCCGTCTGATGACAGGTTTGTTTGTTGAGTCTTTCTGGTTAATTAATAAAGATCCATTTTCATCTGCAGTTATCCTGCTACTTGTTTTTCAACCAAAAGATATTAAACAAATATGAAACCCAGTTAACAGATCAATTTTAATCCCTTGTTTGCACCAAAAAAGAATAAATACATTTTCACTGAGGATCTTTAAAGGTGTACATGCATGCTGTACATTATCACTGTATGCAAATTAGTCCAGGGTGTATTTTTGCATAGTTCATGTGAAGGAAAGCAATAAAAAAATATTGTGTCCTAGGGGAGTTTTATATGCAAAACATTCTGAGTCAGATGTTTTTTAAAGTATTCCAACTGAAATGTTTTTCATTAACAACTTTTATTGATAATCACATAATAAAAGTCTTTTCAGCACTGAGGTTTTTATCTTTTCTCTATTCCTGTGTCAACATCCTGCGCAGTAGCTTAGAGATGACGGAGGCTAACAGGAAGGCAGCACAAAGACATGAGAGACGATCCACAGAGCAGAACCTTCAGGAGCTTTTAAACCTGATCTGCAAAGGGAACCTGAGCCTGTAGAGACATAACATTCAAACCAGCTGCATGTGTCTGTGTGTGTTTATTTGTTCAGTATTTGCTTAAATTTTGCATGTTGAACAATTTGTCTTTAACTGAGTGAGATTCTCATGTTAAACAAAAATGAGGTAAAGTGTCTTTTATTTTAATGCTGAGCTAAAGGTAAAAAGTACCAGAGGGTCCAAACGATCTTTCCTGTTAATGATCCATGTCTCACCTGCTGGGCTGGTTTGTGCAAACAATGAAAACGGCAGATGGTCCTGAATCAATAAACCCCTATCCTCCCTTATCTTTTGTTATGAACAGAATCAAAGATGAATGAAAGTTCAGACAAACTGAGAAGTTGAAAATAACCGCCAGAAACCGACAGTTGATCCTGGGAAGTGGAGTTTGTTAATCTCAGCCACGCCTCTGTGAAAGTAACTGGCGCCATCTGGTTTTCTGCCACATGCATTCAAGGACAAAGAGCTGATGAACCTTTTTATCACATCTTCCAGGACGGACAAATTTAAGGCCGTTAATTTTTTTATCATTAAAGGAAAGAAGAAGGAACAACGGAAACAATAACTTTAAAATACCAGTAAGTTTCATTTTGTTCTCTAAAACATCTTTTTCTTTCTTTTTTTTTCATGACTGAGTTTTTTCTTGATTCCAAAGATGTGATTAAACTGGGCTTTAGCTGGAATCAATAATCAATTTATTAAAACTTCCTCTTCAAGATATGAAAACATGTTTTGCTAGAATAAATGATCACATTCTGCACATTCAGAAGCTGCTAAAAAGACACAAAATGTTTTTATAAAGAAAATTATTACTCTGTCAGTATATACATAATGAAACGATGCCTAAATGTATTCCTGTTTCTGAAATATATAAATATTTGTATGAAAAACTTTCACCATCTGTTAGACAGGAAGGTAATAAAAGGCATCAGTTATTGTGACTTTATGCCTCTTGTTTAAACCACATATTTAATTTGGAAAAGAAACATTTCGATGTTTTTAGTTCAGACATAAATTAAAGTGATTAAATACAGGTTGTATGTCATGTAGATGGTTAAATGGATTATATTTGTTTTTTTCCTCCTCAGACAGGCGTCCTGCGCTGAAGACCAACTACAATCCAATAATCTTCACTTTAAAGGTGAACAATTGACCAACTTTTATTCATGCTAAAACAACATTATATCAGAAACAATATTTACCCTTAAAGCTGTAAATCTCTTAAACGCTGCTCAGCTTTTCTTTAATCCTGTTATAAATACTATATTCAGCTCTGTGCTCTTAATTACTGTTTTTTAATCTCACCCATTTTCCCACCATAATCTGCACTATTTTATTCTTATTCAGCTTTTTGTAACAATTTTGAACAAGAAACAGGATGTATATTTATATTCATCTAATCCTGTGGAAACATTTGAGTTTTTCATGTTGTTTAAAGATGTTTTGTTTCTTTTTGGTGGGAGAGTTGTGAAATGTGTAGAGGGAGAAGTGACAAGAGGAAGTGTGACAGAGGAAGCAAGGGGTACAACGGCCCACTTATGTGTTGCAATAAATTTAATAGTGCAGACTTCTCTGTGCACTTCACATGTAAACAACTAGAAAAACAGAAGAATATTTATAATCTGTAGTAAATATTGTTAAAATTCAATCATGCCATGTTATTGTTTCATTTAACCTTCGTCACACTTTCACATAAATAAGCACATGTTGTAAAATGTTCCACTTTGTGTTGACCTACAGATCCAACCAGAAACCAAACCCTGTAAAAATCTCATTTCCTCTTCAAGCTGCACTGAAACTCAGTTGTTAAATAATCGTAAAATATTTCTGTTTTTCTGCAGCATAACAAATGTCTGACCGGAGGAAGAAACGGAAATCTGCAGCAAAGACCAGATCACATGGAGATCACACAGTTTGGTAATTATAGAACTCTGACATGAGTAGGAAAAATGTATCAAGTGATATTAGCTTAAGAAATACAACTTTAAATAAAACATAAATCTCCTGTATGTTTTGTTTTATAATATGTGTGTAGTTTAATTAAAAGAGCATAATTTAATTAATGCAACCTCCTTACTTTGATGCCAGATCTTAAGTGCTTTCTGCAGTGCAGCTTCTACTGCAAATATCTTATTACACTTAAAATGAAACAAAACTAACTGATAAGTAACTTTCCAACTAAATAGATCAGCCTTTTTTAAGTCAATAATTCCTTAATATTGATGAAAATGTACTAGTCCTAATGATAAATTATTTCACTAATAACTTCTGAAAAGTTTCCTGTAATAAGTGAAATAATCTTCCAAAGGAACTGGAATATCAATATATTAATTAAGAAATTATTGACTTAAAACAAGGTCATCTATCTTGCTGAAAAGGTACTTATAACTTAGTTTTGACTTATTTTATGTGTATTTATATATTTGCTTTAGAAACTGGACCAACATTACTTGATAAAATATGTTTTTGCAGAGCACCACCTCCTTGTAGAGCAAATCTGCCTTGCAAATGTAGTCAAATAGTTTTTCATAATTTCATGCCTCAAACGTTTCGACATGAAGTGTGATAAGACTAACAAGAAAATGCAAATCCTGAGAACATTTTTTTCTTTCAGTTCCCAGAAGAATGGAGATGAGCCACCAGGCCCCAGCAGCATCTCTGTTAAAAGCAATCGGTCAAAGGGTCCGCCAATTGACTTTAGAAAAGACAGATCAAAATGGTATGTGCAGCATATGTTACTAATTAAGAATATCCTGAATGTGCTCAGAAAAGCTTTTGAATTTGCCAACACAGCAAACAAATTATAAAGATGTTTATGTTTGTATAAAGAATCTTGTTTAGTTTCAGTATTACTGTTTCTTTTTTTGATTAAGTCAACCTTGTTTCTAATTGACTTCAGTTCAGTCCTTTCTCAGTGGTTCTAGTCTGTTTATTTATTCCTTGTGTCTAGTGATAGGTTACTGTTAGATTTATTTTTCTAGTTCAAAGTTGTGGATATTTTCTCCTCATAAAAATGTGTCATTGTTAGAAAATTTGTATTTGTTCTTATTTACAGTCAGAAATTCAGCGAGGAGCTGAGCAGCTGCTCAGTGTGTCAACAGGTTCTGAAGGATTTGGTGTATTTTATTTGTGGACATCCATCATGTAAGGATTGTTTGGGTTTGAGCCTGAATGACTTACCGACAGACTCGCCCTGCACACAGTGTGGAGAGACGTTTATGGAAAACACACTCAAAGACAGAGGTGAGTTTAAAAAGCTGTTAAAGTAAATTCAGTTTACATGTAATGCATCAATTTACAACACAAGTAGATTTATTTTACCTTCCAGTTGATCCTACTTATCAAACAATACATCAAGTTCAGTTTATTATTAAGAAGTAATGGGTTAAGGAGGCATCAGGAAGCGTTTTGACACTTTGCCAAACTGTATTAATACTGTGGCACTGAATACTGACTCCTGCTGGATCTTAAAAATCCCTATTTTATATAGTAATATATTTAATATATTTAATGTCTTCATGT